GTGGTATTTGGTTCTGTCAGTTTAGCAATGGGTTTGTTCATTGATTCAGTCATCTGTTGTCATTTTACTGGGATGTTCTTCACATTTGCCTTTGGTTTTGGTGGGCGCTATTCCTCTTCTTTGTCAAGAGAACATGTTTAAGTATCCTTTGTAGGGCAGGCTTAAAAGAGGCAAACTCGGGCCCGGCGTGGTGGCACAAGTGGTTAAGGTCCTCGCCTTGCATGCCCGGGATCCCATATGGGTGCCAGTTCTATCCCGGCAGCCCGCTTCCCATCCAGCTCCCTGCCTGTGGCCCAGGAAAGCAGTCGAGGACGGCCCAAAGCTTTGGGACCCTGCACTCGCGTGGGAGACCCAGAAGAGGCTCCTGGCTTCGGATCGGCACAGCATTGGCCGTTGCACTCACTTGGGGAGTGAATCATCAGACGGAAGATCTTCCTCTCTGTCTCTCCTTTTTGTATATCCGCCTTTCCAATAAAAATAAATCTTTAAAAAAAAAAAAGGGAAACTCTTTCAACGTTTCTTGACTGTGGAAGAATTTTATTTCATTTTCAAAGACAAAAAAAAGCTTTGCTGGATATGCTATCCTGGGCCGGCAATTTTTTTAGAATTTGGAATATGTTGCTCCATTCTCTTCTGGTCAATAGAATTTCCTGTGAGAGGTCTTCTGTGAGTTCAATTGGCATTCCTTTATATGTCAATTGATTTTTTTTTTCATGTGCACATTTAAGGATCTTTTCTTTATGCTTGATTGAAGAGAGCTTGATGATCATGTGTCATGGTAAAAATCACTTTTGGGCAACCCTGTTAGGAGTTCTGTGACCCTCCTAGATGTTGTTAGCCAATTCTTTCTCCAATTTAGAGAAATTTTTCCTTATTTTTCATTGAATGCACATTTAATTGCAGTTTCTCTTTCTGCACCTCCTGGGACTCCCATGACTCTTATATTAGGCCTCTTACTAGTATCTTTCAAATCTTGAACACTTTTTCTGGCTTAATCCAGCTCTGTTTCCAGCTCTTTGTTTGTTTCTCCCTGGTGACAGGAAATATGTTGCAGTTATGAGATTTGTTCTTGTGCTTACTTCATTCTATTTTGGAGACTTTCCACTGTACTTTTAATTTGCTGCACTGTATTTTTCATTTCTAACGTATCAGCTTTCATTTAATTCATTTCCAGCGTGACATATTCCTTAAGCACCTGCTTTACATGTTTCTCGTTGTTGATAAGAAGCTTTGTAACAAGTGTTTTGAATTCTGTATCCTCCATTTTCTCGATGTCTTTCTCAGTTAACTCTGAGTTCTGCATAGGGTTTGCTCCTTTGCAGGGGAGTCTTCAGTAATATTCATTGTGTCTTTGTCTCTTTTGCTCTTAGTCATTGTTCTGGTTAGCACAATCTTCTCCTTGGGGCAGCTTAGAAAGCTGTGTCACCCACAGGTCTACAGTTCCATTTTACTTACTGTAGTTGGCACACAGCTATTTGTTTTCAGTCACTTGTGCCATTCCCTCCAGCGAGTTCCAGGTCTGGGTTCTTACGTTAGATTTCTACCATGGTATCCATAGCCCCAGCTCCTAGCTCAACAGTCTCCACCTCCTGTGATACTGTGCTGAGGCGCTGTACCATTTTCTCTACAACCTTTTTCCCACTTCTGACTGGAGCGGTTCCTAGGATTAGGGAAGACACCAGGTGTTCTATATAACTAGGTTGTTGTTGGTGGTAATCTTGCAGGAAACTGTTGGTTGCTATGTCTGAGGGCCACATGGACCTATTTTGACCTGCATAATGCTATAATCAGTATTATTTTCTTATGGAACCACTGCAATCCACTGAGCTCAGTGAGTTCTCACAAGCTCAGCACATGTGCAGCTCACTGTTGTCCCCATAGTCCTAAAACTTTTGCCACACTTTACAAAATGGCGCCTGACATGCCACTACTAGAGTTCTTGATCTGCTGGCTGTCGGGTCTGAGGGCTACCAAGACCTGTCTTGGGTGGAACCTGTTGGATGCTATGTTGTTGCAGTTCACTGAGCCAGAAATGAGATCACTCACAGCTCAGTGCATGTGCAGTCCTGCCCCATAGTCCTGCCTCCTTAAACGAAATGGCGTCTAATTTGGCTCTAAAAGAGCAGACTAGGCTGTGAAATCCACCCTGTTCTTACACAGCCCATCTGAGATCTGCCGTTCTGTCTCTCCTCCTGGTCAAATCCAACAGATCAGCAGGACGGGCAGTTCTTTGTCTGGGTTCACCTCTGGATCTCCTGGTAAACGTCCCTTCCCACCTGGCTGCTGGTGGAGTTCAGATCACCATTTGCTGCATGCCACTGGGGAATCAATCACTGCAACACCACACTGTTGTTTTTGCTGCTTTCCTGTATGTGTCAGTCTCCAGGTTCCCCTCTGCTGTCATTCTGTCCTCTTCTATTTCCTGGAATGTGCCCTCTCTGCTCCACACTGGTTAATGTTCCTCTGTTCATTTAAACGTGTCCTTACCCTATTCTGCCATTTTGATTCTCCGCTGAGTCCTGGTGTTATTTTCTTAGTGGCAGATTTCAGTAAACTTTCACTATTGTGAGGTTCATCTTTGGGCCTAATAGATACAGATTTCATTAGCTCACTACACGTTTGAAGATCATATAACAAGGGACCCATTCTGTGTATCTGAATTCCAGTGAATTTGTTTACTGACTTGCTCAAACATTTATCATCTCTTTAGTTAATTTCTGAAAAACATTTGTTAAAGATTCTGCTCTCTCTGCATTTCCTTTGCTTTGATTTTTGATTGTTTTTACACTTTCCTATTTCTACTTTAATCTTCTAGTACATACTCTCCTATTTTAGCAAACATTACAGCATACAGTATAATTTTTCTAAAACATTTAATAAAAATCTGTTCTTTCCAAACAAGAAATCTCATATGCCTTTAGTTCTCCTCCTCTCATGACCCAGACATGCTCACCACTTTCCCTGTAACTTTGACTTTAGACTCATCGGTAACCACTCGGCAAGGACCGAGGACTCTCTGGCATACCTGCTCACCATTGCCTTCATCAGCACAAGCACCAGAGAATGAGACACTAGTTTGCTACAGAACACTCACTTATTCAGGGTTGGTGGTCAAACTTTTCTGAAACTGTCTAAGCTGTTCCTTTCAGTGTCCAACACCAGCTCTGTTTTAGGAGAGAAACGATGGGGCTGCTAGAGTGTGACTTGGGTCACAGTGGGTTCCTGGAAGAGGGAAGAACTGCGGGAGCACACAGCTGAGGACTCAGGAGCAGAAGTCAAGGAGCTGACTGACAGGCGAAGGGACGCATGCAGGCAGGCAATAAAGGGGTATTCCATGTGTCATGGTGGATTATCTTTCTCCTGGCATTCTGCTTGAGAATTAGCTGGAGTGTGCAAAAAGGCTTCACATGGGCCACAATGCTGTTGGAAGCAACAGGGAGCACAAATGTCACTGTGATTGAGGACAGGGGCCTGGGAAACTGGTGTGGCATGGCCAGCATGGTGAGGGGTATCTGTGGGATAGGACTGGGCAGGGACTGGAAAGAATGAGTGGGGTTTGCCTGAGCCACATTCCCAACCCAGAGGGTGTGTTTTATCTCAGTGTGTGGCTTTACCCCACAACACAAAATGAGAGCAAAGCAGTGGGTACAAGGAATGTCAGCATCAGGCGTGCAAGTGGCTCCCTGGGACTTCAGGTTCCCTGGGCAAGGTCCAGACATGAGGGACAGAGTAGAGTCTAGACTGGAGTCCCTGACCCACAGAGGCTGTGTGAAGGTCAGCCAATGAACAGTGACACTTCTGTGTCTGGATTAACCTACAACAGGCCATAGCAACTGGGATGACCTCAGTGCAGGAAGGATGAAGCTGCTACTGAAGGTCAATTGACTTGGAGCTTCAGAAGTCACAGAACATGAGGTGAGTCCTGGACCACAGGACAGGTCCCTCTTCATGGTGGAACTGAGGCTGCAGGTGAACATGGGTGTCACGACGCAACACCTATGTCTTCAGGTCAATGATGATTCGCCATGAGGACGCCAAGAAAGGGAGGCATCAGTCAACATTTTAAATACGCATGTTTTGAAGCAGCAATTCCATCAATTTGTGTAAGCAGGCATTGTGAAACCTACAAATTATCTGTAATGACTCTGGGTCTCTGGCCAATATAATGGTGGATAAAGACAAATTTTCTGTATATTTGCAAATTGACCCACTTCTGAGTATTAGAACATTTCTTCCAACATGGTAAAAATCCTCAATTTCAGTCCACCTCATGGCTCCATCAGTGGGGTCTGGTGCACATGGGTCTAAGCAGACACAATAGGTCCCACACTCTTTTCTTGTCTCCAAAATGCTTCACAAAGATCTAAACACACAGGGTGCTTAAATGCTTTCTAATAATCAGAGAAATGTGAAGTTATATGTAACTATGAATAACAGTTGTGACTTCCTGTATGAAACTTTATCATGAGTCATGTCTGTAGAAGTGACACCTAATACTGAGACTGCAAGGACTTTGAACAATGGCTCTTCAATGTGACAAAAAGTATGACAACCCAATAACTTTTTTTTTTTTTTAGCATTATTTATTTGAAAGGCAGAGTGACATAAAGAAAGAGTGACACAGAGAGATCTTCCATCCACTGGCTCACTCTACATTGCTGCCTGCTCAAGAATGTTAGCAGGGGGGCATGGCATGGTGGCACAAGTGGTTAAGGTCCTCGCCTTGCATGCCCGGGATCCCATATGGGCGCCGGTTCTAATCCCAGCAGCCCACTTCCCATCCAGCTCCCTGCCTGTGGCCCGGGAAAGCAGTCGAGGACGGCCCAAAGCTTTGGGACCCTGCACCCGCGTGGGAGACTCGGAAGAGGCTCCTGGCTTTGGATCGGCATAGCATTGGCCGTTGCACTCACTTGGGGAGTGAATCATCAGACGGAAGATCTTCCTCTCTGTCTCTCCTCTTTGTATATCCGCTTTTCCAATAAAGAAAATAAAAAAATAAAATAAATCTTTTTTTTTAAAAAAAAGAATGTTAGCAGGGAACTGGCTCACAAGTAGAACAGCTTAGATGGAACTGTTGCTCCGATATGGGATGACGGTGGAAACCACCACCATTAGTGGAGCAACTCCAGCCCCTCAATGACTTCTTAAGTTGGTTAATCATTGACAAGTTACAATTCAGAGATTATGAAAGGAGAACACAATTGTCATAAAAGTCTTCTCTCACAGTCTAAGGCAAGGCAAGAGTGGAGTGCTGAATTTATTTATTTTTGCCAATTACCATTTGTATATTTATGTTATATGTGATAAATTATCAACTTAAAAATGAGGCTGCAAGAATAATTTGAGGAGACATCATTTTCAGATTTTCTACAGTGCTGAAAGAAATGTTTCAAACTCAGAAATAAATTAATTTGAGGTTGGAGGACATCCAAAAATAGGGCTTGTTTCAAAACATACATATTTAGATTTTTGACTAATGTTGTCCAATTACCATTGCCAACTTCGAGTCCTACTTGGGTAGCCGTGACAGGGCCTGACCAGAGGCCTGCAGTCCAGGCTGGGTAGTTGTTACCCCTGGAATAACAGATCAGGACTTCACTACAAAGTTCTGCAAATAAGCAGCAAAGCAACAGAACTGGGAGGAACTTCTAGAAGTAGCAGTGATTTCAAGTGGTGCAGGAGCAAAAATGGACTGGAGGTGAACACTCACACCAAAGTCAGATCCTTCAGGATAGGCATGAAATCAGGCAGAGCTCTGCGGGCACCGAACTAAGTCACAAGTCCAAGTGCTTGGGTCCAGTCCTGGCTGCACTCAGCATCGAACCTCCCGGTACTGTGTGCCCAGCAGGCAGCAGTGACAGCTCAAGTGACTGGGTCCACTCCAGCCATGTGACAAATCCAGATGAAGTTTGGGCTCCTGGCTTCAGATGGGCCAAGCCTCAATGAAGGACATTTAGTGACTGAACCAGTAGATGGACGATATCTGTCACTCTTTCAAATAAATAAAAATAGACATTTTTAAAAAGGCAGTGAAAGTGGGAAGGGTATTTCAACCCTAAGAAGTCAAACGTGTGTGATACCTAGAGACTCTTGCTACTTCTGAGAGATGCCAGACAAAACTGTAGGCACGCCAACACCTGGAGCTGTGTGCACAGCACAGCTCACTGCGTGTGACACATTCAAGGGCTTGCTCTGATCTTTGGCATGTCATCCCTGTGCAGGAGCCATGCTAACCTCTTTATTGTATGCTGCCAAAGCAAGAACAACCTGCTCTGACTTTTCAGAGCAAGTCATTTCCTAAGGAACCAAGCACTCCAGGATCTGCTGGTGGCAGCTAGCAGTCAGGGGGAGCTCTGGGTTCAGGGAGCTGTATTTTTCCTCTAATCCACAACACCTTCTGTGACCAACACTCTGGCTGTTACAGAGCTCAGCACGACTTGGGGATGCAATGTTCAGTTCCCGGACTGTCTGAAAAGTCTCCCTTGGAAAATAACAGTCCTTCAGTACTCACAGGTAGGAGCAAAAAGGGCTGCTCAGTGGCTCCCTGTCGGGCCCTGGGCATCTGTGCAGCACACAGTGACAGATCAGGAGGAGCCCCAGAACCACACTGACAAGAAGGCCGGAGCAGCACGCAGCTCTTTTCCCCATCAAGAGCTTCAAAGCCAAGACAAGCAGCAGCTGGATTCCTCCCTTCTGACTGGAGTTTCTAGTGGAAGACAGTTTGTTTCTGTTTCTGTTTTGATGTGGGAAACAACTTCCCAGTCAAGTGTAACGGAATGCTACAGCTGGCTTCCAGTTTATTAAAGAAAGCACAGGCTGTGCAAGACCAAATGTGAGGATGCTAGCAACATGGCATGGGAGCCTCTGAGGAGACTCCAACTACAGTTTTCCTGCAAGACATGAGGAAGAAGCTGGGAGGAGGTGTGAAGGAGAAGCTGGGAGGGGCAGATGTGAGGGAGAAGCTGGGAGGGGCAGATGTGAGGGAGAAGCTGGGAGGGGCAGATGTGAGGGAGAAGCTGGGAGAGGCAGATGTGAGGGAGAAGCTGAAAGGGGCTGATGTGAGGGAGAAGCTGGGAGGGGCAGGTGTGAGGGAGAAGCTGGGAGTGGCAGATGTGAGGGAGAAGCTGGGAGAAGCAGATGTGAGGAAAAAGCTGGGAGGGGCAGATGTGAGGGAGAAGATGAGAGGGGCAGATGTGAGGGAGAAGCTGGGAGGGACAGATGTGAGGCAGAAGCTGGGAGAAGCAGATGTGAGGGAGAAGCTGGGAGGGGCAGGTGTGAGGGAGAAGCTGGGAGGGGCAGATGTGAGGGAGAAGCTGGGAGGGGCAGATGTGAGGGAGAAGCTGGGAGGGGCATATGTGAGGGAGAAGCTGGGAGTGGCAGATGTGAGGGAGAAGCTGGGAGAAGCAGATGTGAGGAAGAAGCTGGGAGGGGCAGATGTGAGGGAGAAGCTGGGAGGGGCAGGTGTGAGGGAGAAGCTGGGGGGGCAGATGTGAGGGAGAAGATGAGAGGGGCAGATGTGAGGGAGAAGCTGGGAGGGACAGATGTGAGGCAGAAGCTGGGAGAAGCAGATGTGAGGGAGAAGCTGGGAGGGGCAGGTGTGAGGGAGAAGCTGGGAGGGGCAGATGTGAGGGAGAAGCTGGGAGGGGCAGATGTGAGGGAGAAGCTGGGGGGGAGATGTGAGGGAGAAGCTGGGAGGGGCAGATATGAGGGAGAAGCTGGGAGAGACCTTTTTTCCTGCACAGAGGTATGCAGGAATGGCTGCGTCACAGGCAGGTGAAGCAGGGTAGTCCATGCTGAGCACTCTGTGGGGCTAGGTCATTGTGTGTGATGGCTCCTTGGTTGCTCTGCAGAAGCCCACCTGAGGTAGCACAGATCAGCAGGGCCTTACATGTTCATCTGTCAGATCTGGCATGTGGAGGAGCCATCCCTGATACAAACGGAAGTTCCCCCTCCTGCTGGCAGCCCATGTGATGGACTTACCTGGGGAGCCTGCTAGTACCTTCTCCACTGGTCATGCTCATGCTGTCTGCTTCCTGTACCAAAAAGAGATGCAGACTAAGAAAGCCACCCTCTCAATGCTCAAGCAGAACACTGTGGTATTTCCCTGGCACTCCCCTTTCAGCCATAACCACCTGCAGTAAACATGTGTTTCTTAACTATTCCATTAACATGGAACCAACAGTTAGGAGGCAGCACCATCAGAGAGGTAAACAGATTCAAAAGTGTTGCTCCCAGGCAGTTCCAAGTTCCTGCTAACCTTTTCACAGTACTCTATCAACTTCTGGAAAAGGAAATTCACACTCAGATGTCTCCCGTGCCAGATGCCAGGTGCCCAGTGCATCCTAAGGATTCCCTTCTCAGCCCAAGCATTGCTGGCCACTCTCTGCCACTCTCTGCCACTCCCATAGACAGGGACTGCTGAAAAGATACAAGGTAGGACCACCCATGGGGGAACAAGGTGGCCAGGTGACCGTCCTTTCCCACAAAGGGCTCCCTGCTCTCCTCTTTCCACAGAGGCTTTGAACTTGCTCACCCCTCAGCTTCTCAAAGCTGAGCTCAGCCCTCGCAAGGGCTGACAGCCCACTCTGTCATTTCATACATCCAAGGTGGCGTTAGCACAGCTCACCACAGTGAGACAGGAAAGCTCATAGGCTGACCTGCAGCCCCAGCTGTGGGAGTTAACCCTCCCTTCCCTGTGCACAGCTTGGCAAAGCAGGGAACATGGGATAGAAGCCTTCCCTGCAAGGCCTACACTCACCAGGCCAGTTTTAGGCTCTGCAAACTTTTTGTCAGCTTCCTGGCAATAACTGAGTACTTTCATTATGAGATATTTTTAGCTTTTCTTAACACAAAGAACTCTGAGGACAGTTAGGAATTTTCCCCACTAACCCAATATGCCAGACTCCAGTGAGCCACACAGGAAATATTTATGCGGCAGAGAGTGACTGCACATAAAAAGGGCAAAGGCTGAGAGGGGGCAGAGAGAGGAAGAGAGAAGGAACTCTTGGCAAAGGAGCCCAGCGAAGGGGAAGAGACAGAGAGAAAGCAAAAGAGAATCTGTTTTCCTAATGTGGGGGTGGGTATTGGGAATTCAGCGCCACGGGGATTGGTAGACAGGTGGCAGGCAGCACCAGGGATATGGAGCTACAAGGGATTGGTGATTAGGGCTGTCAGGTACAAAATGGAGGCTTTACAGAAAAGAAATCGAAACTGAAACTTTAGGGGAGCTGAAACAGGCATTCAAAATGGGGTTTCAAAATGGGGTTGGTCTTTGGAGCCAACACTCAAGTCACTGCACAGACAGCTTTCTGCTTGGCCTACTTTAAAGGTTAGCAAGACCACTAACAGGGATGTGGGCATGTGGCACAGTCATTACGCCAAGACACGGGATGTTGACACCCTGCAGCAGTGTCTGGGTTGAGTTCCAGCTCCTGATATTGGCCTGAGAGGCAGCAGAGGATGGCCCAAGTGTTTGGGCTTCTGCACCCCTGCAAGAGACCAACTCAGTTCAGTTCTGGCTGCTGAGGCCATTTGCAGAGCAAATCAGCAGATGGAAGCTCTCTCTGCAAATTGGCCTTTCAAAACATACAAACAAATAAACAAAAAAGTTAGGGTCTGACACAATAGCCTAGTGGCTACTGAAGTCTTGCTTGCACATGCTGGGGTTCCATATGAGCACCGGTTCGAAGATGGCCCAAAGCCTTAGGACCCTGCACCCAGGAAGGAGAGCTGGAAGAAGCTCCTGGCTCCTGGCTTTGGGTTGGCTCAGCTTCAGCTGTTATGGCCACTTGGGGCATGAACCAGCAGATAGAAGATCCTTATGTATCTTCTGTCAATCTGACTTTCCAATAAAAACAAACCTTAAAACAAAACAAAACAAAACTCTAAAAAGTTATTTATTCATTTGGAAGGTTGAGTTACAGAGAGAAAGGTGTTGTGGAGTAGGCAGCTAGTTCAGGGTCACCAGCTTGGAAGCCACTCCCCCATCACCTATGTGGTCCCCTCTGCCCACCTGTCACCACCTAGAACCCGAGAGGGGGCGGTACTGCATTGTTGCATTAACCACTCCCCTCGCAAAACCCCAAAAAGGCCTATGATGGGGGGGCTCGCCCTCTGGTCCTGTGCCTCCCTCACTCTGGCACTCCAACTCTTGGCCTCCCCAGCACCTGCTTACTCTCTGGCTTCCCACGGACAGACTCTGAGGACAGGGAGCCTCTGAGCATGGCCCCTGTCTGTATTCCTCATCCTCTGTACACTGCTAAGATGCTTTGTATTTCTAATGTGTGTACTTTTCAAGAGTTGCAGGAGAGCTGAGGCCTCGAAGTAAAGGAGTGTGGGCAGAGAAGCCAGGGCAAGGTCAATGTCTGCAGCATGTCGGCAGTGACGTGAGAAGGCAGGGCTGTTACTTCCCAGGTTTCTTCCCTACACCGCTGCCAGGCTGAGCCACAGGGAATGTCCCAGCAGGACCCGAGGCACGAGGCTACTGTTGGAATCTTTTCCATTAAGCGGACGAACCTTCCTAGGCTAAGTTTTCGAGGAGTCTTCCACTGAGCAAAGTAGAAAAACTGGGCTTTGAACAATGAGTGAACAGACAGAAAGTAAATAAAGCAACAAGGAGCAGACAGCACCAAGCACAGAAAACTGTCTCTCTGTCCCAGCACAGCGACAACCACGTGCGCAGGTGCGACTCATCCACTCAGCTGCAAACAGCAGTGTTCAGCAGAAAATCCACATAAAGACACATGAAGACAGTGCTCACCTGGTCCCTGGTTCCTCCACGGCTGCCCCTGCCCAGAGCGGATGTAGCCAGAGCTTGTCCTGTGGGAGCTGGAGCCCTGTCTTCCCCACCTCCCTGTGAAGACACAGAAACAGGGTCAGCGGGTCTGAAGGCCCATCCTGACAAGGGGTCTGATGATGAGGCAGGTCTGAGGCCAGGCCAGTAGCTCCTGAACCCATTGCACCTGGGCTCAGCAGTGGGGTGTTGGCACCTACTGGGATGAGGAGACTGAGGCCCAGCGGCACAGCCAGGGAGGCCTGCTCAGGTCCAGAAAGCAGCTGGTCCACACTGCCGCCAGTGACCAGACCTTCCCCTTGTAAGCTTCTCAAGTGTCCTTTCCTCCCCATTCTCCACTTTCCTATGGTTTCAATCCTGTGTGCACTCTCCACCGCTCACCTGTACTTCTGGCTTGCACTGGGAGCCTAAGTTTGGACGTGGAATTTCATGACGCCCTGCCTCAGGCCAAGCCATGGCTCCACGGGCACTGTGCATTCGCGGCGTGGACAGACTGCTGAGCACTACTTGTGTACCATGGTGCCAGGACCTGGGGTTCCATCACAGGATGGGGAGGAAAGCATGAGCCGCCATGGTAGACACACATGGAGAAGTGGGTGATGCAGGGCCAGCAGCCAGGGTGCAGAGGGTAACACACCCAGCCTGGAGCAGGGCCTATTTGCCAGCCTGACCTCTCTCCTCTCTGGGTAATCAACCTAATTAACAACTCTTCCATAGCCTTCCAGGCTTTCCTGTCCTTGTGGTCATCACCCTTGTCTCTGAGGGTGAAGCATCCACCACCTCTCACGCCACCAGGAAAGAGATGCCATGTGGCCCATGGCTGGTTCTGAGGGCTGTACTGGTGACTTGTGTTCTGAATGGTGGTGTCTGACTGTCAGCCTCATCCTAGATGGAGACACAGCAGCAGCAGCTCAGCTTTGTGCCAGCCTTGCTGCACAACTGGGTGGGTTGGCCACAGCACAAGTGAGCACTGGAGTCCCTGCCCACACAGACACGTACACACAATAAAAGATAGCACACAAATGCCATCTCAAACTCAGTCTCAACGAACTGGGACCCCACGGCGCTGGGTATGGTGTGGACATGAGTGCCAACCTTCATGTATAGTGGTGACTGGCAGAGAACATAAGGTATCTCAGAACAATTAAACTTCAGTTTTCTTGACTCCAACTTTGTCTGTAGCAGACAGAGAAAAAAGCTGAAATCTGAAGAACAGGTTGAGGCTGGGAGAAGGCACCTTCCTCTTACGTTGTGAGAAGCAACATTCTCCTGTTCCCAGGTCCCTGCACGACATGGCCAGGACACGTAGAGGGCACAATCACCAGGCTTGAAGCCACAGGGACTCGGGAGGGAATGGGAGGGAATCTCGGGGAGGCTCTCTTAGTTCATCTGGAAATGTAACAGGACTACCATGGTCACAGCACAGATACTCAGCAGGGGAGAACACGAAACAAAAAAGGAAACTATGAACCTCACTTCAGCAACTCAAAACAATCAACCACAACCAACTACGATTGCTAAGAAACAGCAGCCAAACGACACGCACAGTTCTCAACAGGAGAAATTCAGGCGGCTGACACACATACAAAAAAATGTTATCACTAGCCATTGGGGAAATGCAGATGAAAACCACTCTCACTGGGTCAGAATGGCTACGTCACCGAACTACAGCAACAAATGATGTGGGGAAAGGAGACCCCTACACACTACTGAAGGGAAAGTAACTCAGTATAGCTACGATGGAAACCAATGTATGTTTCTTTTGTTTTTAAAGATTTAAAAAGATTTTGAGCCGACCCAAAGCCAGGAGCCTGGAGTCACCTTCGGGTCTCCCACATGGGTGCAGGGTCTCAAGGCTTTGCGCCATCTTCAACTGACTTCCCAGGTTACAAACAGCAAACTGGATGGGAAGCAGGGCCTCTGGGATTAGAACCGGTGCCCATATAGGATCCCGGCACATGCAAGGTGAGGACTTTAGCCTCTAGGCTACTGCACTGGGCCCATCAATGTATATTTCTTCAAACAAAACAACAACAACAAACAGGCCTCCCTCTATCAAAGAGATGCTATGGCCATTCCTTCTCTCAGCACGGTTTCCAACAGTCAAGGTGTCCACCACCAGAGGAGTGTGAGATAAGATGGTACACACCCCGAAGGGAACACTATCCAGCCACAGCACAGTGACTCCTACTGCGTGTGACATCACACTGAGAGAAACAAGACACAGAAAGAAGAATCCTGCATATCTTCCCTCCTATGTGGGTACTGAATGAAACCAACTTCAATCTGTTTCCAGAATGGTGATTACTAGAAGCTGGGCAGGATGAAAAGATAAAGTTTAGCTAACAGAAATGAAGTCAGAGCCTTGGATTGAGTTCCAGTTCCATTTTCGATCCAGCTTCCCGCTAATGCACCCCAGAGGCACCAGGTGACACTCAACTGCTTGGGTCCCACCACCCATACAGGCGATGTGGATGAGTCCCTGCATCAGCCCCAGCTATTGCGGGATTTGTGAATCAGTGAATGGAAAATCTTTTATCTTCTGACTTCCACATAGTAAAGTTCAAAAACCAAACAGCAACTTCAATGCTGTGAAGAGAGCCAAGGCACTCAGCCAGTGCTATGAAGGCAACTGACAGGCAGGGTTCAGAAGACCTGCCAGAGTGACCTGCTCAACCCACGTGGAGAACATGAGAAAAATGGAAACCTGAGCTGAGAGCTCAGGGAAGAGGGCAGTGGACAGAATCTAGGGTGGAAGATGCTACAGCCGTCGCTGAAGTGGAGTCTTGCTCATGTGACCACGGGACACTGCTGAGGGGGAGAGCAGGGCACGTGTGCACAAAGCCTAAGCTGCCCTCAGAGAGAGCCCAGGCCAAGCCAACTCTGCCATCTCTGACAGCACTTCCCCATTTTCCTAGTACATTCGTTATACGAAAAGCCACCCTAAATTGCTGCCAGCGCACAAAGTCCACCCAGAATCTGGACTTCAGGCCACAGGCCAAGAGTCACTTTGTGAGTGAGTGCACCATTCCGAAACAGGTTTCCTAATGGACAGGATCTTTTTCATCTTACTCTCCTCTGATTCCATCAGCCTCTTCTTGGAATTCTGCCCCGTAGCCCCAGGAGCAGTATATCTCCCTGCAGGTACCCACCTGTGTGGTGTGAGTCCCAGTGTGCTCTGCCCACAATGCGTCTGTTCTCCTTCAGGCAGGCCTTGCAAACCACAGCCTTCAGGTTGTGGAACTTGGTGAGCCGAGACCTCTGCAAACAGACAGAGGCACAGGGAGTTCAGGGGCTGAGTCTGGCACTGTTCTCAGAAGGGAGTCCTGGACAGGGAGCATCCTGTGGGAACACAGCAGCTGCATCTCCTGTCAGGTGGAAAGGACTGTGACTTACCACAGCGGTTATCACACAATACTCACTGAAAAACTACAACAGGAAAGCCTGCGCACTGAACACACCTCACACTGCTCCATTACTTGTTGTAGGGACAGTCTGAAAATGCCATGGCCATAGCCTACAGTGGCAATGGTGAAAGGGAGCTGCCTCGTACCAGGGAAGTCTGTTTCCTTCAGCTCACACTATGCAGAGTTGTGGAGTAACAGTCCACCTGGCGAGCTGATGCCAAACTGTCCCATAGCCTCTGCTGCCGTCCACCCTCCACAGCAACAACCCAGATTCAAGTGTCCTTCCTTGGGAGTTGTGGGTGCTGGATCTCCACAGGCTGCACTGCCTCTCACATCCCCACACGGATCACAATACACTCCAGGCGAGCTATGAACTTAGCATGAGAAACTTGGAAACTGGCCAGGACCCTACAGCAGGGGTATTTGCCAACAGGGACAACAGCGGTCTCTGGAGTCCTGACATGCCTGTGGCACCAGCTGGGAGTGTAAGCTCTTTACTCAAAGGGTAAGAAACTCAGAAATGGTCAGGCGCAAGGGATGCTGCTTGTGCTCCCTGAATACAAGTTGGGGACTGAGTCCAATTTAAGAATTCTGAGGCCAGAATGGTGGTGCAGCAGCTAACTGGACAGGTGATGCCAGAATCCCATACTGGAGTGTTGGGTTGAAATTTGGCTGCTCCATTTCCAATCCAGCTCTCTGATAATGTTCCTGTGAAGGTAGTGGATAATGGCCCAAGTGCTTGTTTCCCTGTCACACACATGGGAGACTGGATGAAGTTCCTGTATATCCTGGCTTTGGTCTTGCCCGTGCCTGGCTATCGGGCCATCTAGGGAGTGAGCTGACAGATGGAGACCCGTGTCTCTCCTTCTTTGTGTGTGTGTGTGTGTGTGTGTGTGTGTGCGCGCGCGCGCGCGCAGGTGTGCTGCTCTACTTCTCAATAAACAAATAAGAAATCTTAAACAAATGTTCTAACTAGCTATTGAATGTGCAGACGATGAAGGCTGAGGCTGGTAACCATTCTGGTTTTTGGCTTTGCCACAGGGTACTGATTCAGAAAATGGAGCAGCTCTCTGTACACTGTGTAAGTGTGTAGAGCTTGGGCTGGAGACATCCTTGCTAAACCTGCTCCAAGGTGAGTGGCTGTAGGATGACAGCTGTGCCCAGAATGGCACAGTGACTGCAAACTCACATTCTGCTCTAGAAGAACCTCCACGGAGTGTCCTTTTTCTGAGTGCAGATATTTCTGATGAAAAAGCTTCCCATCAAATACGTTCCAGGGCATGAACTCATTGGTCTTCCAAGGAAAGCCACAAGCACTGTTGACCAAGGCCAGGGTAGTGAGGCCACGGACCAGGAGGGAGCCGAGCTGCACAGCTCTGGGGTTGATGTAATCGAGCTGTGGACACAGAGAGAAAGGGGTCAGAAGCGGGCATCCGGTTCATGGGCAGGGAAGAGGGTCAGATGTGGGCATCAGGGCCATGGACAGGGAAAGGGGTTAGACACAGAGGACCAGGCCATGGATAGGGAAGAGAGTCAGATGCAGGCATCAGGGCCATGGACAGGGAAAGGGGTTAGACACAGAGGACCAGGCCATGGATAGGGAAGAGGGTCAGATGCAGGCATCAGGGCCATGGACAGGGAAAGGGGTTAGACACAGAGGACCAGGCCATGGATAGGGAAGAGAGTCAGATGCAGGCATCAGGGCCATGGACAGGGAAAGGGGTTAGACACAGAGGACCAGGCCATAGACAGGGAAGAGAGTCAGATGCAGGCATCAGGGCCATGGACAGGGAAAGGGGTTAGACACAGAGGACCAGGCCATAGACAGGGAAGAGAGTCAGATGCAGGCATCAGGGCCATGGACAGGGAAAGGGGTTAGACACAGAGGACCAGGCCATGGATAGGGAAGAGGGTCAGAGGTAGGAGGCCTGCTTCTCATACAGAGGCAGAGCTTAGTGTCTATAGTCCTGGCTGTACAGAGACACTCCCTTCATGAAGCAGCTGTGACCTGAGCTAGGACATGCAGGCATGACCCCTGGCTGCTGCATTTGTGTCTGCGCTAAAGAAAGGACAGAAACCCACACAGGGACTGATGTGTTCTGATATGCTCTAACACTATGTGGCAAATAAGCATCCTTGATTCCATACCGCATTCTAGAAGGAAACACATCACTCAGGCATGCAGGGCTCACGAAGACCAGAGGGCTGACTACAGCATCCATGCAATAAGAACAGCACTAACAAAACATTTCTTACAATTTCTACTGATCAGTCACATGCCACATCACCACACTCCTCTACCATGTCCACCTCCATGCCTACCTGCCTGCCTATTCCCAGGGCACTGGAGTGGGAAGTGCACACCCTCCTGCCAGCACCCTGAGCGTCTTCATAATTCCCAGCCTTGCTGACCATGCAAGTGTCCAGACAAGTCACTGTCCAAGGTGTCCAAGGTGCTACTCAATGAACCCAGTCATTCTGAACAATACTACATGTACATGACAGTTCACAAAGGTGAAGTCAGTTGCCCAAGAGTGATGTGTGTGCCAATCCCTGCTACAGGTAAGACCAGGAAGCTCAGTGACCATTTTATGTCCCAGAGCTGGTCCAAGTTGACTCACAGGAACTTTGCACAACAAGGATCAGATGGGGCCAAGTTGGTCATGCCTATAACACCTACTCATCACACATCTTGCTGTTAGGCTACTTCAGTAGTTTCTACGTGCTAAGTGCTGTCCTCCACACTCATATACACATGCGGCATATAACAGCTATCTGATGGCTTACAGCCCTGTGAGATTAAAAGCACAACTCCTAGGGGTGGTGTGACTCCCTGGGGCAGGGGAAGCCTGGCTGGGCCCCAGGCCTCTGGTCTGGGTGCCTTTTGGACTGGTACAGGTATGGACAGCCAGGTGGTGTGAAACCCCAGGGGAGGGGAGGCCCTGAGTGGCCTGGTGCCAATGGTACCAGGAAAAGACCTCGGGCTGCCCGGCAACACAATCAGGGAACCTGATGATGTGGGGGATGGCACAGGTAGGGGCAAGCATGAACCTGAGAGTTCATGTTCAGATGAGAAATCACTTCTGAGTGTATTCCAGGGACAAGGCCACTGTACTTGGAGAGCTAGATCATGGAACCCACCAGTGAGAGTTGGAACAGGAAACTGGCATTGTGAGGCTGGTCGATGACACTAACCAGCAAGTGAGTGAATTAGGTCTGGAGGCAGAAACTGTGGAGGATATGTGGGCTCACCTATGTGGAACAGCAATCTATGTTGGCACATGCAAGATCTATGGTAGGGAATAGGCCTGGCTGGGGAGCTAAGGGGATGCCCCAGCTGGGTTGGAATTCCCATTGGTGAGTATGAGAGTTGGAATGGGGGTAGTGGGCTGGGCTGGACATGGCTATAGGGTCTGAGGAGTGCCAGACTGGGCTAGACTCTAGCACCCACCAATACTCATGAAGGCCAGGGTAGTATGTAGAACAGAGTGGGCTAAATCTCATCTCCCGCTGGACCAGGTGTGGCTGAGCTGCAATACCCAACTGTAAGAACCGGATTGGGTATAGGCCAGTTGGGCAAGGATACTGTTCTTGCCAGAACAAGGGGTGAAAAAAGTCAACCTGGGTCAAGGACCCACCAGTGAGATCTGCCACAGGGAGGTGACCTGAGAGAGGAACTTGGGGAATTCCTTTGTCAGGAAAAAGTGTTCTAGGTAAATGCAAGAACAAAGGCTGAGAGCAGCCCAAATGAGGCCAGGTTACAATACCAGCCAACATACATGTGGGTCAGGTCTGGGGGGATGGGCCAGGTTGGACCAGTTCAAAGTATCCACTGGCAGGTATGAGGATCAGAATAGGTTGCAGGAGGGGCTGGGTTGGGCCCTAACCAACTGCTTCACACTCAGACCAAGACAGCGAGCTACCAGGACAGACTGCAGCACCAAGTATGAGGTTGGTGCTAGAACTGGGAGCAGGTGAGCAGACTAGACTAAGCCAGGCTGAGGCACCCACTGTTTGATGCCAAGGTGAGGCAAGCCATGCCAGTGGGGGAGCAGTGGGTGCTGGAACCATGTGCCTAGGAGCCAGGGGTCCAGTGGGGCTTGCGTCACCTGGCTCATGTTCGTGGATCCATTTGTGCGATGGGTGCCAGGTCTGTGAGTCCCTGGGGCAGCAGGTCCAGCGGGGACCAGATCACCTGACACAGGTCCTTGGAACTGCCTGTGTGGTGGGTGCTGGCCTGATGAGCCCCTAGGGTGGGGCTCTGGTGGGGTTTGGGTTCTTGAACCTGACTGAATGGTGGGTGCCAAGTACATAAGCTCATGTTTCTTCTCATGCCACGTCTCACAGAAACAGCATCCATGAGGATATCAGCCTAACGGAAAACAGTCAACGGTGTTGAGGTCTCTTGCGGCAGACTCCGCCATAGTTCTTGAGACTAATGCATTCCCTGCAGGCCTACCTTGCTGATGCTGGTACACAGAACAGCAGCACTTACTCAAGGTTTCTGGCCTGGGAACCCAAGCACAAGCTTTTCTATCTTGACCATGTTAACAAAGACATCAGCAATAGCTCTCAAACGCACCAAGGGCAGGTGCTAATGGGGCGTGGCTGCCAGGCTGGTGCTCAATTTTGCAAGAAACAGCTGCCCTGTTCCCCAAGAGGCTGCAGCATTGTGTCCCCAGTGGAATGAATGAGCCCACAACCATCAGGCTTGTTTCCAGTTTCTCTACAGTCCGATCTGCTCATCTACAAAGTACTATCAGGCTCCCTTCAGCCTTTCCTCTGGTCCAGCACGTCCACTTAATCCTATGCGTCTTCTCCCAAGAGCAGCTCTGTGCTCATGCAGCATGTTCTGCTCAGCAGTATTTCTGTCACTCAAGTGCTTCACAACCTCTACTGGCACTTCCCTTAGCTGTGAGTCACTCAGACGTGTACCACTTAGTCTTGAAACAGTTAGGAATTCCTCTGGTGTGGTCAAAAACAGATGGATTCCAGGGGTTTGAAAGCTGCTGGGGCTGGGGGGTTTTAAGATGGCCGACGTAGGAGGAAGGCTGTGAGGGAGCGTTCAGCGAGATAGGGATAAAACGCTACAGAAGCAGCAAAGAGGAACAGCAGGGAACCGCAGGGAGAGGTCTGTGAAGCTCCCTGGGACAGTGTGGAGCCAAAAAGATCCACACAACTCGGAAGAACAACGAGAACGGAGCAGGACAAAGGTAGAGAAACCGACATCCCACTCCAGACCTGCAGAGTCACTTTTGAAAACGGCCTGACGGGAGACGCAGCCAGCTCGGAGGCAGGGAGATCGGGTGGATCGTCGCCGGCGGGAAGCCTTTGACAGCGGCGGAGGCAGACTGCAGCAGCCGGACGTTTGGTGAGCGGGGGGTTGACGTGGCAGCCTCCGCATTCCTCGCCACCTACTGAGGTTCCAGCCTCTGAGAAGGCGGGGCAGGCAGCCTGAAATGGTTGGATCTGTGCCTTGGGAACTACGCGCAGTGGTGTTGGTGGTGAGGGAAGGCGCCTCGGATGTTCCAGCGCTGAGGGGGGCCAGTGCGTCTCGGTGCGCAGAGGCTGCTGGCGAGGATCTGGAGTCCCCCACATCCTGCCTGGTGGAGGATTCTGATCGCTGCCTGCAGCAGCCGCCTCCGCAGCACAGGTGTCAGGTGTCAGGTGTCAGGAGAGCTCCCAGTTTTGGGAAGTGTAGCGCTGTGTGTCCCTGGCACGCAGGTACCACTCCCATAGGGTGAACTGCTCACTCCTAGCCTCCCACCCCGCAGTTCTGAGCGTGGGCGACCCACCAGGAGAGCTCTGAAAACTCCTGCATCACACTGACACGGTGAGAACCTGCCGTGAAGTCATTATAACAGGGCGCCTGGGTCACTCCTCCGCTAAGGGCCTGTGTGGGGGAGCCACACGGGAGCAGGGGCTCTGAACACCCACACACCACGAGTGGTGGATTCACTGCACAAGAGCCACGCCTGGAAAGTGCCTCACCCACAGTCCCGTGTGTGGGAGACGCAACAGGTGGGCCCTGAAAAACCCTGCAGTCCCTGACACGGAGAACGCAGGGAGAAAGCACATAAAACCTTCTAAGCCCTGGGGATTCCCGCACAGGGGGCACACCCAGAGAGCGCCTCCATCCCTCCACGCCCTGGGGTGTCACACCTGTAGAAGAGGTGCCCAGAGTGTGCCTGGAATCCACTGGGCCCCCAAGGTGGTGCTCTACAGCCCCGGGCCCTGAGAACGCACCAACGGTGCCTTGAAAATTACCACGCCCGGCAACACCACGCCTGCAGGCTCCAATCTCTACAGGAAAGCACCTGACAGCCCCTCAACACACGGGTCCATTTGCCCCACCAGAATACACCAACGCAATGGGAAAAACCACCAGAAAGAGTT